GGGGCAAGTCCCAGCCATTATACGAGTTTTTTTAAAAATCAAGTATTGATGATTCTAAAATCGGTTTTAAAACTTGGAGTACTTCAAATGGGCAATCCACACGTTTGATAGATTTCTTGATTATTCCAATTCCCAAGTCCTTCCACTTAGTTGGATCTTTTTTGTTGTCCTCAAAACTGATTCTTCCCAAATCATCACCGAAGTAATGTGGGACAAGATCGCTGGTGTCAAGGCCATCATCACCCTAAAAAAATTTTGTGAGACACTGACAAGAGACAGCTTTCATCACCACCAAGAGGAATTTTCTGGCGCATTCACCTGTGAATTAACAGAAAATATTAACTAAAAATTACTACTGAACCTAACAATAATTCAACATAAAATTTTGCTAAAGAGAGGAAAACGTGACTTTTTGTTAGTTTCGTGTAGGTAAAGTAGAACAGAAATTTGCAAATGAGCAACTAAAAATATTTCGGCAAGACACAAAAGTTCTACCTGAAAAACTTCAAAGGTGCATTTATTACTAGAAGGTTTTTGCATTTTCTGCTCGTTGTGTGCAATTCCGACAGCTACAGAAGATGCATCTCGATAAAGAGGAGTCGCAGTAGAACAATCCAAACCTACAAATTTCAAACTAGTGCGAGAAAAGAAAATTTAAAGACGGCTCACGGAGAAACTCACAACGCTCAACGATGTTTTTTGTTTTGAAGAAGAAATTACAACAGTTCCCTTTCTCACAAACGATTCAATACTTCTTAACATATAGTTCATAGGAAAAGAAGATTCTACCCCCCAATGCAATCCTTTGTGGTTCCCAACTATCAGGATCAAATTCGCCATCCTCCTCCTGTAGTAACCGTGCATGACGCATTTCTAAAGCATCCAGGGCATCATTTAAAGCGGCATCTGGCTCGGCTCCGTTTTCTTTACCCCTCAGCAAAATTGTACGAGCACCATTTAAATCACCACCCGCTTCGCGAAGCTATAACCTTTGATTCCGTAATTTAACAGACAAATACCAATATTTTCCTAACCGACTTCTGATTATCCAATTTGTTAAAACAAATGTCTGATCAGCATAGCCAAAAACTATAAAAAAATAATTGTAATCAATTTTCAAAAAAAGCCAGTTACTCTGTGACTAGTGGTATTTTTGAACTCAATACTTGAGAAAAAAAGCACCTCAGCCCATCGAATATAAAACTGCGCAAATCGCCGACAACAGCCAGCCGTATAAGCCCGTTCGAAAAAGGCCTCAGCACTCACGGTAGGTTTATTTTCAGCAAGCTTGAACCAGAGCTTCATCATCCTTTTGTCATCACGATAAGCCTCACGATTACCAAATTTATTTATAATACGGACGAGAAATTTATACAGATGCGACTGCTTGCCTTCAAGAAAAGAACAGCCGACAAAAGTTATAGGCCTTATGAGGTAAAAAAGTGTGGAATACCTGTGGGGAAAGCCTCTTCAAACCATGCTACGAATTTTGAACATAATTCCAGAGCATCTTCTGCTCCTTCGGCCTCCTCCATAACCATCTCAAACTTTTCCTCCGCCTCATAAACTGATTCCCTGTCAACTTAATAACACCAATTTAAACCGCGAAAAAGGTATTAAACTGGTATCTCAAAAGAAAAATCACAATTCAGGAACGGTTCTCTTATATTTTGAAATCAGGGGAATCTAAACACTAAAAGAAGTCGAAAATTGTGAGTCAATATAAAACTTGTAAGGAACAAAGCACTCAATCCTCTAAAAATAAACAGCCTTTCCCAATTCTATGCTCCAATATACAAAAAACGAAACTTCCATATTTTTATAAGTTACCTAACAAAAGTTAACCAAATTACACAGACTGAACAAAAAACATGAAAAATACCACGCATGAATTACGATCACACTGATATAAAAGCTTACTATGGTCATTAGCCCCTTTTCTCCTAACTCGTAAATGATTCAAAAACGGATTTGCTCAGCCAATTGTCATTTAAAGAAGAAAAAATAGGTACCACCAAACGCAGTGTTAATTGAACGGACATTTCTTCCGCCTCGAAGCGGTCGAATATTTTCACGGGATAATTCCCACTCATATTCTGAAGGTGCTGACATTGCCTAAAAAAGAGTAAGATCATAAAGGTCGGCATCAAAAGTTATGATACAAAAACTTTTTAACTGTACAATGGTCAAAGACTCTCTAAACTTTCAGAATTTTACAAAAGTCATCCAAAGTCTTAAAAGTGAATATGTGCAATAAACATTAAAAATCCATCAGTGGGGCTGTCAACAACGAAATATTACTTCAACAAGAGCAGCAAAAACTATAACATTTCCATTTCTAGTATTTGCATGCTGAAATTTCCCGCCACAGCAAAGGAGACCCGCTGGCATAGTTCCAAAGCCCTGTTGGACCTCTTCTCTAGAATCCTCTGTTTCAACAGTGCCTTCTGCTTTTTTACTTTTATAACAGGAGTTTCTATTATCTGTTCTTTTATCAGGAAATCTCAAATTGCCTTGAATGGGCTGGGAGCACATAAAAATTTCCATCTTCACTGAAGAGATCATAAGTCTGAGGATTTGCATGAGCTGCTCAGTACAGCAACCGGCTGGTTTCATACGAATTCCTTCCTGGAGGAATGCCGAGTTAGGAGAAAAGGGGCTAATGACTCAAATAAGCGCAACGAAGATGACTTTCCTAGCAGGATTTACTAGAAAGCAAGTTAAGGCCATTGAAGGTTGGTGAAATCCCAACCGTTTTTCAAGCCCTAATTGAATAATACATCGAGGAATTAGTGAACGCCAGTGTAGTCCCCCGATAACTCTTCCTTCCACTGGACTACATTTTACAAGAATGTTACTCTGCAGTTCTCAAACAGTGAATAAAAATTTCAGTTATGACACTTAAAGGACCACTTCAAGAAGTGATCCAACTGCTAGCATTCTGATAGAATGCAGCGGTACTGCAGTGGCACCAAATCAATAAATACCCAGCGACAACTCGGAAGAACTACAGATCTGCACATTAGAATACTGTCACTAGTATCCCCTTTTTCACCCCTTTATAGAAAGAAAACATTTTTAAGACTGTAAATGAATTCTCTGCCTGAGCATCTCGTCATCGAAGACATAAGAATCGCTTGACAAGTAAAATAGAAGATTACCATCCAACTAGAGGACTCGCATTTTGATACGAATTATGAGCTCTCTTCAAATAGTATTTTTAATGTTTCACACAACACCTTTTATCGACAGCCACAGCTAAGTTGATTTTCTGCCATTCAAAACTGTCCCTTCCTAGTCACATTTTAGGCGTACTTGCAAACAAACTCGCCACCTCGGAGTCTCCATGCCGAACTCCACGGTCCTCTTTTTAAGCCGTCACCGCCAGTGCAGGTCACTCAACCTAAAAGACGAACGCTGCTTAAAAAAACAAAGTGGATTCAAACAAAACAGCAGAAGAGACTTGTTAATCCACAATTTCGTACATGAAAATTAATTATTTTTAATGTGAACAGAGTGAAGTAGGCGTACGGATGTTTACGCAGTGTGAAGACTTCCACTGTCAAATGAAAAGCTTTTAAAGTCCATACAAGCAAGCAAACAAGGAAACATGAGCATATAAGCAAAGCAAAATCTATGCATCAACCCCCAAAAACAGCTTCACTTTCATGTTGTTTATGCATTCCTGGATGGGAGCACTTCACCCACACGCCTGTCCGATCCCGTCGATACTGTACTTCTTTCAAAGCGCAGCCATATTGTCTTTGCTAGTAGTTGATCAGTCAAATGTTTAACTCGTTTTAGGAGATCGTCCTTCTTGGAATTCTCGAAAAAAAAAA